CTCTGGGGTTTCTATTCCACTCATAAGTATCAGTGATTTGAAAACTTTTCCTACGTGCAAGATTCTGCACTCTCTTCCCAGCACCAGAAAATGAAAGGAAAAAGAAGAGAAAAGCCTCCCTAGAATGACCTGGTCTATCTCCTTGTAACTTTCATTTATATTTCAGTCTTAAAAACAGCACTATTTGACTCTTGCTAGGCATGGTTAAGATTATACTCCCAGCAATCATAAGGCTGAGTCAGGAGGATAACGAGTTCAAGGCCAACTTGGATTACATATCAAGACCCTGTTTCAAAAACCAAAACAAACAAACAAAAATATATATATATATACATTACATATATATATACATATATACATGTACCACATACACACATACATATATTTGACTGAGTGCATTCCATACTTCTTCTCATTGTATAAATAAAGAAACACAGGCCCTAGAGAAGTTCAGTGGCCTTAGTAAGGTTGGGACAGACAGCCAGGCATACATCTTGCTTCATTCAATGTTAGCTGTCAGACCTCAGCCCCATCACATGAACCTCTGTGCTTCCATGTCCTCACTTCTCATCTGTGAAATGGGTACCCACACAGAATTGGCTTAAGACAAGTCCACAAAGCAATCATTACAAACCTGTGTGTTGATAGCACACAATATCTAAAGACTTTATTTATAAGGCGAGAGAACAAAGGAGGAGGAAGGTTACTGGAGCTAAGATGGATGATCCCAGTTAGATGCCAACTGAAATCTCCAGTACAACTACTAAGGAAATGACTGAAGTAGACAAGAGTCTTGAGGGCACTGAGTGAGGAGCAGGTCTTCTGATTCTCAAGATTGGGGCTCTGGGGCACCCAGGAAGTGTTGCGAATGGAGGAACTGTTCTGGGATTCTTGGAATACCATGGTCCAAACTGGAGAACTCCCCAGGAGATGGAAACCCCTGTCCTGCCCTGTCCCACACCCCTCCCCCACATGGCTACCTCCAATCTGCAGCCCTTACTACACACAATGTCACCAATAAGGCACAAGAGGACAAACAACAAATGAAAACAAGGAGCATTTAAATGCAACAGAAAAAAATGAAAGGATGCCCTCTACTTCAATCTGCAGTCAATATTTACGTAATTTACATAATTAGAAAGTCAAAATACCTGAATATGGACTTGACAAAAAAAAAATTGTGATAAAGCTATTTGGGGAGTCTAAAAGGAGGGAGAGGAGGGAGAAGGTAAAGAAAGGGGACATCTCTGTGTCATATGACATCCAGTCAATAGATTTTATCCAAGCATCTGTAAGAGACAATGTGGGTCAAAACTTAGAGGACAGTGCCAGGTGCTGGTGGCTCACACCTGTAATCCTAGCTACTCAGGAGGCAGAGATCAGAATTGAGATTTGAAACCAGCCCAGGCAAATAGTTCAAGAGACTGTATCTCAAAAAAACAAAAAACCATCACAAAAAAGGACTGGTGGAGTGGCTCAAGGTGTAGGCCCTGAGTTCAAACCCAAGTACCACAACACCACCAAAAACAAAAACAAAAAAAAACTAGAGGACAGAGATTTTTAAAAGTTCAAAGTGATTGTCTCAGGTAATCAGCCACATGGAAGAGAGTATTTAGGGGCCTGCTGACTTTAATCAGATTTTCTACAATTTGACTTTCTATGTTTGTTTGTTGCTATGTAGCTCAGGCTGGCCTCAAACTCAAGGCCTTCCCACCTCAGCCTCCAGACTTCTGGGATTACAGGTATGCACCACCACATCCAGTTAGAGAAAGGAAAGGAGGAAGAGAAGGAGGCCAAAAGCCAAAAGCACCCAGTCCCACCACACAGTCTCCCATCCGAGTACTAACCAGGCCCAACCCTTCTTAGCTTCCAAGATCAGGTACATTCAGGGTAGCAAAATTATTTGTAAGAATTACCCAGGTGGTTTTAAATTTTTTAATTTACCAAAGAACTAAAATCATGAATATAAGTCAAAGTCCTTTTCTGTGACATAAGAAGCCATTCATGTGACACTGAAATGTTCCATGACCATAAATCTACTAGGCACTTGCTGACAAGACCCCTGTGCTGGTCTTCAGCTAAACAGGAGCTGACACTGAGCTACTTGAATGTGACTGAACCACCTGTCAAACCTTAGAACACAACTTATACTCTTAACACTTAGGTACTGCCTCATATGGAACTTATTTCTAAGAATTTTGTCTCCCTGGCCATGCATGGTGGTAAAACACGTGTAATCCCAGCACTTGGGAGGCTGAGGACAGCCCGGACTCCATACTGAGACCCTGATATAATAATTAGAACATTTATTGAGCACTTATTATGTGCTAAACACTGTTTAAATAAAACACTGTTTAATTGCTTGAATAAAATGTATTAATTTATTTCATGCTTATAACATCTACAGGGAGTAATGTTTATTTTTCCATTGTATTGGAAGCAAGGTGAGGCCAAGTATACACCGTTAAGTGCTTGAGCTGGGATTTAAACCTCAGTAGTCCAAGAGGTATTCGATCTTTTAGTAACTAACACTGCTGCCTCTTTCACTATAAGCTATTTGAAAGCAGAGATCATTGCACCTTTATCACACACAGTTACGTATCCAGTGCATTATACGATGGTGTATGTTTTTAAGTCTCTGGGTCTGACCTCAGTGCCTTAAGCATCACAGGCTCTTTAAACAGAAGAAAACCAGCACAGGGTTCCACACTCTCAAGCCTACTCTCCAGTCTCATCTCTTACCCCAGCTTACTTCAAACCGTCCAGCGCATTCCCACGCCACGTCCTACCGGATGGGATTCTTTCTGCCTGCAAGCGTTTGTTGAGCACCTACTCAACTACTCAGTAGTGCACCAGGCACTGGAGCAATCGGGAGGAAAGAGGGATAGGGTAAGAACAGGTGGAATCCGAATAAAGTGGATCCCTTGGGCAAAAGTATTGTGCCCGTGTTAATTTCTAAGATTTGATAATGCACTAAGGTTATGTAAGATGGAGGCATCAGGGAAAGCTGAGAAGAGAGACAAGAACTTTCTGTGTATCTCTGTAACTCTTTTGTGCATTTAAAACCTTTTTTAAAAGATGCAATTCCTCCTTCAGAAATGCAAAAACCTAGTTATGGGTGGAGATGTGAACAAAGATGTCCCCAGAGTGAGCGGCAACTGCAGGTCTGAGGCGCCGTAGAGGTGGCGGGGAGGAAGGACAGGCCGGCGGTGCCCACCCTCTATCCAGAGTCAGCCATGGGAGCGTCACTCGGCACCCCTAAGCCCGTCCTGGCCCTGAAATCTCAGGTCGCTCCTTTGAGAACCTGACCCCGGAGACCAAGAGCGCTCGGGGGGTTGCAGGGTGCAAGCGCGAGCTGCACCTGCGATCCAAAATCAACCTCGGGGTCGCGTGTGCCGTCAACCGCAAGGCCGGGTGGCACCTGCCACCCTCCGAGTGGCCCACCTGGAACTCCAGCCCGTAGATCACCGGCGCATCGTCCTCCATGCTGCAGAAGGTAGCCCGCCCCGCTGCTCACTGATTCAAGCCCTAGCTAGAAGCGGAACGTCCCACCTAGCTAGCGTGCTGCCAGCGCCCATTCATTCCCCTGCGGGTGGCAAACGGCTCCGAAGCCGCGCTCTTTCCGGCTCTTGTCAGCACCCATAGGACTTACTTCCTGCTTTCCCGTGACGTCATCAATACGCTCCTCGCCAGGGACCAATGACAGCGGCGCCGACTTGTGCGCATGCCCACTTGGGCTTCCATCCGGCTCTCCGCCGCGGGGACTCCTGGGATGGCGGGCTAGGCGGAGAGGTAATGGGACCGAGAGGGGCGGGCGGACGAAGGGGCGGTGCTCCGGGACACCTCAACTAAGGCGCCATTCACAGGGAGCTTTCCCTTCACCTCACTCAGAGAGTTGTCTGGTGCTGCAGCTGGGACCCTGTCGTTATTGTCATCAGTGTCATCACGACTGCTAAATGGCAGTCCCGCGAACTGAGCCAACGCCTTAAACACTATCATGAGGAGCTGTGCTCCAGCGTCACGCATAGGCTCTTACACCTCGTTTCACAGATGAGACACCGTGCTTGAGTACAGGGTGCGCGGCTGCTCTGCCAGGCCGCCTCGGATGCCCGAAACCAGGCGCTACCTCGTGCACCCCGCAGACGCCCAAACATGCTGGCAGGATACCTGGGCCAAGAAGGGGTCATGCGCGGAGACCGGCACCCCGCATCTGGCTGCACTGAAGCAGTTGGACGCAATGACCACGGGTCCCCGCGGCCCCAGGGACTGAACGCACGCTCCCGGAGTGGCCGTCCTGCGTGGCAGTGCCCGTGTGACACAGAAATGTCACTGCGTGGACTGACTCCGTAGCTGAATCCCCTTCCCTGGTGTGGTTCCAACTGGGGGCTTTGGGACCACGCACCTCTCTTCCATGTTTGTGGCTATTTAACTTTTCCTTCCACCCATAATTGATCCTCCTGGTTTCCCATAGTTGTACTCAGCGCCCAGCACCTCACGGGGCATAGAGCTAAGGCTCAAAAATACTTCTCAGTAAATAAGGATCCTCAGAAATTACACGAGAGTCGATCTTTACGGAGATTACATTAAAAGTCAAATAAGCAGAGGCCTGTGCCAGGCTAAGAAAACGCAGGATTTTCAACATTATACTGTTATGACTACCATCTTTATTGTCGATGGTATCACCACACAATACTACGGCTCCGTGGTGGGAAAAGTAGAAAACACAATCAGAAAGACAGACTCCTAAAACCAGTATTTCTGGGGAGTGTTGGTCAATACAATAGCTTAGATGTCTCCGTTGCACCTGCCATATCAGCCACAAACTTGTCTATAGCGTGAGTGTCACAAATAGGGTCAATAGCGGATTTCCCTCTGCATCCCAAGACCCTCAGCCGCCCCGCCCCTTTCACACCTCGGCTCCAGGCCCCGCCCCCCCGCCTACGCCAGGAGCGGCGCTGTACTTCCGCTGTCTCCGAGGCGCGCATGCGCAGAAGCGGGCACACGCAGGCGCGCTAGCCCCGTGGGTCACGGACTCTCCGTCTGCTTCCGGGCTGGCTTCCGTCACCTTCTACCCGGACCCTGGTCACTGCCTTTGGTGATTCCTTCCCCAGCCCCAGGGGCGGGTGGCAGGTGAGGATCCGGGCTCGGCAGTTAGAGCGGTCGGGCCGTGACAGGTCCAGCGGGAGTCCCACGTGGGTCCCTGTCCCGCCGCGGACGCCGGGCGCGCGGACCAAAAGCCGCCTCTGCCTCCAGGCGCGCGTCCCCGCGGCGCCTCTGCCCCATTCCGTAACCTCCTCCGGCCAGGGTCATCCATCATTCCGGCCGTGGCCGGTTCCTGTTTCTGCATGTAGGCTAGCTGTGTGACTGTGAACCAGCCTCAGTCTCCTCGTCGGCGTGTATGTAGATTATATGGCCGGGCACCCAGTGAATGCCGGGAAATGTTGCCTAGGATGGCTGTTACCATCCATGCCCCATGAACGTTTTCCTGCTGTTGAACTCCTGTCGTGCTGCTCTTGGGCTCGCACGTTCCCAGAATTAAGCAGACGGTATCAGCCGGGAGGGAGAAGGTGAAGAGTCTTGTAGAGCTTCCAGTGCCTTCGCAGCCTTCATGGAGGAGAGGGGGCCTGGACTAAGTCCTAAAGAATAGTAGTGTTTCGCCAGGTGAGGTGGCATGTGTGTAACCCCAGCCATGCGGAGGTTAAGGCAGGAGGATCTCGAGTGGGAGGCCAGCATGGCCACATTAGAAATACTCTGTCTCAAAACAAACAATAACACAAGAAAAAGAGCTGTTTAAAGACCTCAGACTTTGTATATAAAAAATTAATAAAAACAAAAGATGTTGGCAAGAATGTGGCGAAATTGGAACACTGTGCTGTTAGGAATGTAAAATAGTCCTACTGCTATAAGAGAGTCATGCAGTTCTTCAAAGAAAATACAAATGGAATCACCATATGACCCAGTTAATTGCATTCCTGGGTGCTTACTGAAAGAATTGAGAGCAGAGTCTCAACGAGAATTTGTACATCCAAATTCATAACAGCAACATTCACAATAGCTAAAAAGTGGACGCAATTCAAGTGTCCATTAACACATAAATACATGCACTGAGATATCCATCCAATACAGGAAGGAAACTGCTACATGCTATACTATGGATAAAACTTGAGGACATTATGCTAAGTAAAACATCCCAATTACAAAACAGACAAATGTTGTATGATTCACTTATATGAAACCCCTAGTCAAGTCCATAGAAGTGCAAGGTGGCACGGTTGTTGCCCAGGAATATGCATAAAGGGATTTATTTAATGGGAATAAGATTTTAGTTTTATAAGGTGAAGAGAATTCTAGAGATTGGTTGCACAGCATTGTGGTTGTACTTAACACTGACGAACACTTAAAAATGGTTGATGGTAGTTGGACACCAGTGGTTTACACCTGTAATCATAGCTGCTTGGGAGGATTGTGGCTCAAGGCCAGCCCAGACGAACTGTTCACCAGACCCTATCTTCAAAAATAACCAGAGCAGAATGGACTGGAGGTTTGGCTCAATAGGTAAAGAGTCTGCTTTGCAAGTACAAAGCCCTGAGTTCAAACACAAGTCCCACCAAAAAGGTTGATGGTAAATTTTATGTGTGTTTTTTTTTTTTTTTTTTGGCAGGACTAGGGTTTGAACTCAAGTCTTGGTACTTGCCAGGAAGGTGTTTTACCACTTGATCCATGCCTCCAGCTCAGATGGTAAATTTTATGTATATTTTGCCACAATTAAAACATAAATAGAAAGCTGGAGAAAAACAGTTTCTAAATTTTGAACTGTCTGAATATGTAACCTATAGATACTCCTTCAATTAAAAAGCAAGGTAAGGTTAGCTTAGCTAGGTATCTAATCCCAGCATTTGAGGTTGAGGCAGGAGAATGTCAACTTGGAGGCCCTCCTGGACTACATACCAACCCCTGTCTTAGAAAAAAAAAAAAGGCACTTAACATTACCTGAAATACTACTGCATGTGAAAGTGAGAAAAGAAATAAAATAAAAATATAATTCCTCAAATAGTGCTAAGGTTGATTTGTGATTGTCATGTTTCAGGCAACATGGACAATGCCAAAGGTGGTGACCAGAGCGTGACAGAGGAGTCTCCCCTAGCCCAGGTGGATGCTGAAAGCAGTCCACAGCAGGCGCCTGAGGAGGAGCCAGGGCATCTTCGGTATCATGAGGAAACTATTGATCTGGGTGGAGATGAGTTTGGGTTGGAGGAGAACGAGACCATATCAGAAGATTCTAACAACTTTGCAGATAAGCTTAACGAGCACATGATGGAGAGTGTCCTCATCTCTGACTCTCCCAATAACAGCGAAGATGACGTGGGTGACCTAGGCTGCTTGCAGGATGTTGTGGAGCCCAGCGAAGGCAGCACCAAACACAGACTGGCCAATATCACAGACAAAGAAGAGATGGACCTTCTGGGCAATGACAGTGAAACTGACCTTGACGATACGCCTAGAGACATTTCTGACATGACACCTGACAGCAGAGCTTCTTTGAAAGAAGACTCAACACAGGAAGAAGTGAAAGATATTCCCGAATTTGAGAATGCTGGTGCAGAGAACTTGGTGCCCAGGGATGAAAAAGCCCATCCCAAAGAGCAGGGATCTGAAGTGTCCTCCAGTCAGTCCTCTTCTAAAGACGAGCCTGTACCCGTGTGCACCATTTTCAGTCAGGCAAATTCAGCTCCTTCCCAGCCACACTTGTTTCTACACGATGGTTTTGAGTCCCAGATGGTGAAATCACCAAGTTTCAGCAACACAAGTGATGCTTCGGCCAAGACCCCACCTCAGATGGTCCAACCCAGTCCCAGCCTGAGTACATTTTTTGGAGATACAATGAACACTAATTCCTTGGCCTCTGACTTCTTTGATTCCTTCACCACTTCCACTTTCATCTCTGTCAGTAATCCCAATGCAGGCTCTTCAGTTCCGGAAAAGTTGTCTTCACTTCCTGCTTCTGTGGGAGAAAATTCGCCAGATTCTGCCGACCCGTCTTACTCTGCAGGGTTGGAAGAATCAGAGTCGGGAGTTTCTTCAGCTTCTCTGGACATCCCTGAGTCTCCCAAGCCATTTTCACAGATACAAGCTGTGTTTGCAGGGAGTGATGACCCCTTTGCCACAGCCCTGAGCATGAGTGAGATGGACCGAAGGAATGATGCATGGCTTCCCAGCCAGGGGACCAGAGATTTCCTCATTTCTATAGCAACCCAGCAGCACAGCACTGTGTTCATAGACAAGGAGAACCTCACCATGCCAGGCCTCAAGTTTGACAACATTCAGGTAAGACAGGGTCTATTTCTGTGTTTGTTTTGGGAAACTCAAACAGAGACACAGGACTCATGAGGCAAGGAAGTAACACTTTTGTAGTGCCAGCACAAACTCAGCAGACTCATGTCCAGAGACTGAGCCCTGAGAACAAAGGGGTCTTGCCTTATGTACTCTTGCAAGCAGGTTACAGAGGCAATAAAATTAAAAAAAAAAAAAGGTTTAACCCAGATATGGTTACATGCAATTCGATAAGTACTTCACCCTAGTGCTAAGTGCCCTTCTAACCCTAGTGCTATGTGACCTTCTTTACATTTGCATTGTTTATGTTTTATCTTTCTGGTATGCCATCCCTTCCCACCTGCTACTTTATCAGAACATCAGAACACATACCTGTCTATTTCTCTTATGGTCCTCCTCCCTGCTACATTATTCCCCCTTTTGATGCTAAAACCCACCTAGGGTCAAACAGCATCATCTTTTTTTTTTTTATTCATAGATGCATACAATGTTTGGGTCATTTCTCCCCCCTCCCCTTACCCCCTCCCTTATCCCCACCCCATCCCCTCCCTCTCCACCACACCCCCCTCGATACCCGGCAGAAACTATTTTGCCTTTCTCTCTAATTTTGTTGAAGAGAGAGTATAAGCAATAATAGGAAAGACCAAGGGTTTTTGCTGGTCGAGATAAGGATAGCTATACAGGGAGTTGACTCACATTAATTTCCTGTGCATGTGTGTTACCTTCTAGGTTAATTCTTCTTGATCTAACCTTTTCTCTAGTTCCTGGTCCCCTTTTCCAATTGGCCTCAGTTGCTTTAAGGTATCTGCTTTAGTTTCTCTGCGTTGAGGGCAACATATGGTAACTAATTTTTTAGGTGTCTTACCTATCCTCACCCCTCCCTTGTGTGCTCTCGCTTTTATCTTGTGCTCATAGTCCAATCCCCTTGTTGTCTTTGCACTTGATCTAATGTCGGCATATGAGGGTGAACATACGATTTTTGGTCTTTTGGACCAAGCTAACCTCACTCCGAATGATGTTCTCCAATTCCATCCATTTACCAGTGAATGATAACATTTCATTCTTCTTCATGGCTGCATAAAATTCCATTGTGTATAGATACCACATTTTCTTAATCCATTCGTCAGTGGTGGGGCATCTTGGCTGTTTCCATAACTTGGCTATTGGTGAATAGTGCCACAATAAACATGGGTGTGCAGATGCTCTGGAGTAACCTGTGTACAGTCTTTTGGGTATATCCCCAAGAGTGGTAAATTGTGGATCAATGGAAGATCAATGTTTAGCTTTTTAAGTAGCCTCCAAATTTTTTTCCAGAGTGGTTGTACTAGTTTACATTCCCACCAGCAGTGTAAGAGTGTTCGTTTTTCCCCACCCCGCGTCCTCGCCAACACCTGTTCTTGGTGGTGTTGCTGATGATGGCTATTCTAACGAGGGTGAGGTGGAATCTTAGTGTGGTTTTAATTTGCATTTCCTTTATTGCTAGAGATGGTGAGCTTTTTTTCATGTGTTTTTTGGCCATTTGAATTTCTTCTTTTTTTTTCCTTTTTTTTTTTAATTTTATTATTCATATGTGCATACAAGGATTGGGTCATTTCTCCCCCCCTCGCCCCCACCCCCTCCCTTACCACCCACTCCACCCCTCCCTCTCCCCCCCCCTCAATACCCACAGAAAACTATTTTGCCCTTATTCTAATTTTGTTATAGAGAGAGTATAAGCAATAATAGGAAGGAACAAGGTTTTTGCTGGTTGAGATAAGGATAGCTATACAGGGCATTGACTCACATTGAATTTCCTGTGCGTGTGTGTTACCTTCTAGGTTAATTCTTTTGATCTAACCTTTTCTCTAGTTCCTGGTCCCCTTTCCTATTGGCCTCAGTTGCTTTAAGGTATCTGCTTTAGTTCTCTGCATGAGGGCAACAAATGCTACTAATTTTTTAGGTGTCTTACCTATCCTCACCCCTCCCTTGTGTGCTCTCGTTTATCATGTGCTCAAAGTCCAATCCCATTGTTGTGTTTGCCCTTGATCTAATGTCCACATATGAGGGAGAACATACGATTTTTGGTCTTTTGGCCAGGCTAACCTCACTCAGAATGATGTTCTCCAATTCCATCCATTTACCAGTGAATGATAACATTTCGTTCTTCTTCATGGCTGCATAAAATTCCATTGTGTATAGATACCACATTTCTTAATCCATTCGTCAGTGGTGGGGCATCTTGGCTGTTTCCATAACTTGGCTATTGTGAATAGTGCTCAATAACATGGTGTGCAGGTGCTCTGGAGTAACCTGTGTCACAGTCTTTTGGGTATATCCCCAAGAGTGGTATTGCTGGATCAAATGGTATATCAATGTTAGCTTTTTAAGTAGCCTCCAAATTTTTTTCCAGAGTGGTTGTACTAGTTTACATTCCCACCAACAGTGTAAGGGGTTCCTTTTTCCCCGCATCCTCGCCAACACCTGTTGTTGGTGGTGTTGCTGATGATGGCTATTCTAACAGGGGTGAGGTGAATCTTAGTGGTTTTAATTTGCATTTCCTTTATTGCTAGAGATGGTGAGCATTTTCATTTTGTGTTTTTTTGGCCATTTGAATTTCTTCTTTTGAGAAATTCTGTTTAGTTCACTGCCCATTTCTTTATTGGTTCATTAGTTTGCGAGAGAATTTAGTTTTTAATTCCCTATATTTCTGGTTATCAGTCCTTTTGCG